GAAATATATATTTTGCCTAGCCTCGTATATAATCATCGACTTAAATCACCTTAGTCAATAACGGATTTAAATAAGTCAAATAACGAGAATGGACTTTTGAATACATATGTTTTGTATATGAAGCGAATGAAATAGAGAGAAGAGAAACGACGCGGAGTGGAGGTAAGCCAACTCCCCTTTAGTCAAGCGGTAATCAATATTTATAGTTACACAAAAGTAAGTTACAGACATGCGATGAGTAATGGGATAAGAAACGTACACACACCTGCGCGCTCATATAAAAACAGTCGAGATTGATAGGCGAATAATTAACAAGGTCAGAATGTGACTCAAGTAGGATGAATAGATTAGGCTGTCCGAAAGCTCGAATAAGGTATATGGGCTTAACATAATAACCGACACTGCGAACATTCAAAAAAACTTTGATTTACTAAATACTCTTTATATTGGATTTAGATGACAACAAAACATATAAATTTGAAATGAACTGTGAATAACTTAATTAAGAATGAGAATAGATAGTAATCATATAAGATGTTTACATTTTATGTTTTTTAAATATCGTGTAAACTAAAAGTAACTAAAACGTTTCAAGTTATTTCGATTAACAAACATTTCGATTAATTAATTACAAGTGAAGTCTTCAGACTTTTATGAGAAAGACAGTAATTCATTTCACTTTATTCACGATTGAATAAGTTAGTTGATATGGGACTCCTCAGCAGTGCGCATCCACAATCCCACCTCGGGAGAATCGAACCCAGGACCTATCGGTCTCGCGCGCGAATGCTTCAACTCTGTACCACAGGACCAGCATTTAGCGGTGTCAATGTCTAACCTCAACCAATCCACGAAACTGCGCCACTACCTTCTATTGTACTGAGGTAGATACCTGTCTCCACCCGACATGGATTAGCTCCACTGGTTATGGCGTTTGCGCGCGAGACCGAAGGTCCTGTGTCTGGGTCCCGTGAGCGGGATCGTGGATGCGCACTGCTGGGGAACCCCATAAACAGACAAAACGGCCATCCACTGCTTTCAGGTTTTCAATGGTGGTCTAACATCAATCGGTTCATGGTCTCAATCATAAAATTTATATTTGAACGAGATCTCAACTTACAAGTTATAAATAAGTAGCCATATCTTTCTAAATCCTTTGAATGGAATATTCTTAGGTTTGTGAATTTTTTATTCGAAAATAGTATGTTTTCTTCTTAACTTGAGAATACTCTTTTTAGTTTTTAAGAGAATCTATAATTATAAAACTAACCATGAAAAAGGTAAATCAAGATTTTCAGTCTTATTCGAAATAGATTAAACAAGAAAGATGAAATCCTGAGCTCTAATTTTCATAATTATTCCATGAGTATTAACAAATTTACATGACAAATAGTAAATAACAAAACTGTACGTTACTATTTATGAGTGATTATTTATCCAAGTTTTTTATGTATAGTCTTATCACAGTACTCGTGAAGTAGCAACATATAGTGTATAGAAAAATATATATTTCTTATACACAAAATTATCTTTGTTGTTGTTGGTGGTGAAACTACCTAGAATTCAATGGATCATTTACTAAGATATACATTTACACCAGGTCATTATGATGTTCTGATGTATGTCATTCAGTTTGTTAAGAATAATATCATGGAAAATAATGATCAATCAGGTCAAAATGTATTTTAATCTTTTTTTCTGCATTATTTTGTATAAAAACCTAAATGTTTATGTTTGCAAATGAACATTTTCTGTAATTTGTGTATAGGGTGTAGTTGTTTTGTAGCAATCTCATTTTAAAAAATCTAATTTTAATATAATTACATTAATGAAAGGAATATACATATATGTATATTGAACCTCTCACAAAACATACATAAAAGTAAAGCATCTATAGAATAATTACTGAGTATTATAAAAAGGGATTTTTGTGGATATTATAGTAATTTAATAGTTGAGTTCATGAAGCTTGATCATCATGGAGAACCTGAAAGCACTGGACGGCCGTTTCGTCCTATTGTGTGACTACTCAACAGTGCTCATCCACGATCCCGCCCCTCGGGATTCTAAGACAATTGCAAACGGTGGCTCAGTTTCGTGGATTAGTTGAAGTTAAAGATTATCATTGTTGGATCACGGCTTTATGGTTTAGAGGATAAGCGCTAACGCGAGACCGATAAGGCTAGGATCCGAAGCCCGCGAAGTGATCGTGGATGAGCGCTGTGCTGAGGAGTCTCGTAATAGGAAGAAACGGCCGTCTAGTGCTTTCAGGTTTTCTATGATGGTCTAACTTCAATTGACTCATAAATTCAGTTATTAAAGATATTAATACTAATTTTCGTAAAATTATTTTATTTTTATTTCTTAGTGAAGGAATTCAATGAGTGCTAACGTCATTTTCAAGACTATCTCAATCTAGATTCTACTTTTCTTGGCAACATAAGGGCATTATAAGCTATAAATCTTAATCCGACCTCCAGTGAATTGTATCATAAATTGATATGCTATAAAACGTTTCCAGTTTTTATAACTTAATTGCAAGCCGCTTCATAGTTTAATTTGCATAAATCAACAAAATTGTTTGACGTATAAGGCAAACCTGAACCAAGACAGTTCTAATGTATGGGGCGGAAACCTGGAGAACTACAAAAGCCATCATCCAGAAGATACAGGTGTTTATTAACAGTTGTCTACGCGAAATACTTCGGATCCGTTGGCCAGACACTATTAGAAACAACCTACTGTGGGAGAGAACAAACCAGATCCCAGTGGAGGAAGAAATCAGGAAGAAACGCTAGAAGTGGATAAGGCACACTTCGAGGAAAGCGCCCAACTGCGTCACAAGGCAAGCTTTCACATGGAGTCGTCAGGGCCAAAGGAACAGAGGAAGACCAAAGAACACATTACGCCGGGAAATGGAGATAGACATGAGAAAAATGAACAAGAATTAGATGGAACTAGAAAGAAAGGCTCAGGACAAAGTGGGTTGGAGAATGCTGGTCGACGGCCCATGCTCCATTGGGAGTAACAGACGTAAGTAAGTAAGTAAGTAAGTATAAGGCAAACATATAAAAATGTCATTTCATATGATAAGCAAATTCATTTTCTTCAGATTCACATTTTTATTCATGGTCATCGAAAATAATATTCAAAAACTCGATACATAAATAACTGACATATCCTAGTTACACCTTTTAATAAATAGACAATATTTTACAACTCAGGTTTTAGTATTTTTTTGTTCTTATAGGAATAATGAAAAATACTTTTGCGTAATTCTCTGGAGGCTGTCGTAACTCATTCTCCTCTAAGATATTCAGTATCAGAAAACAGTCAAATAATTTTTTGTAGCCTTCAAATCCTTTTGAGAATTTTAGAACTTTAACTTATAAAGCAGTAGAATATAACTTCCGGTATACCATTATCAGAATGTTAGATTGTAGAAGTTGAAAATAACTCGAATAATTATTTGATTATTTTTACACATTATTGCTAATCTGAAATTTGAAAACATCGATAACTATTCACTCAGATTAATCTCCTATCATTCTCGACAACCACAAGTTGTCTGTAAAAGATATAAGTTACAACTCTTGCTATTAAACGTGGAATTCGAATGATAATTAGATGTCCCGAACCCTATGGACGTGTTCAAGTTTAACACCTTTTCTAGACAAAATCAATGTTAGAATATCTATTCATGAAGTTCTCCAATGGATCACGCGAATAGTTTATTTGATGGATTTATATATATATATATATATATATATATATATATATATATATATATATATATGTTTTATTATTTGACTAGCTAGAGTGCATGAAAGACTAGCTAAAATGGCTGATAATTTATTATACAATCATGTATTAAGCCGTGACAGATGATTATTTGCCAAGTCACTACTAGAAATCCGGTATTCTGGTCTCTACCAAGCAAACACGGATGGTATCTAAAATCTATTCCTTGTTTTACGTTTTTTGTAACTGATATCTGAGTTTTTGTGCTTCATAATTCATACTTAAAATGATCTTATTCTTACGCGAATATATGAAGAAATGTCGAGTGGTGGAGGAAGTTGAACATGTTCTGCCAGACCATGATCGCACTCAGTGAGCCACTGTTTAATATTATTTACTAATTTACTAAGATCAGTATCATAAATTATTTACAACTGTTTCTTATAACAAAATATAATAACTAAAATTGTGTAGATTCATTGTTCTTGGACATTTATAACATTATTAACTTCATTTGGAAAATTTGTCAGATGATGTGAAATGTACGAATCATATCTACGCTGAATACATTAAATTAATCTCAGTACACTGATGTGATTGACTTAAGCAATTAACGACTACTGAATTTTTACCAGAATGGGGGTTTGTGGAGATTGTGTTAACTCAATAGTTCGAGTCCCGTGTGCGGAATCGTGAATGCGCAATGCTGAGGATTCTCATATTAGGACGAAACGGACGTTCAGTGCTTTCAGGTTTTCTATAATGATCTAGCTTTAGTCGACTTATGAATTCAACTATTAGACTACTGAATTGTTAATTCTATTTTACCAGCTTATCATAGAGATTAGAAAACTGATTATTTACTACTTCAGTAACAATGTAAAAGCTATTTGTGAAAATGTCATTAACCTTAATGTGCAAAACACATGTTCATCAAAAATAATATGCCTACTTTCTTAATTGTTTCTATTTATGTAATGCTATTTGTTTCAGATAAACTTTGTATTTACCATACTTTAGACTACTTAGTATTTTTTTAAATATTTGTTTGTTTCAACAGTTGAGATCATGAGTCAATTGAAGCTAGACCACCATGTTTGTTTACTTGTATTTAATTCGGTCGGAATTGTTGCTGTTGCAAAATGTGTTTTATTTACTGTAAATTAGGTGATTGGTTTGAGTAATAATGAATAATTAAAATAACTGGCCAATGAAATTCATTTGCAAATATACGGCATATTTAACACATAAATAGAGATTTAATTTTCTCCATATAGTGTATGGAGTAATATACATATATAGATAGATAGATATAGATTTATATTTATTTTCCCATACTTATTTAAGTAACAAAACAAGTTTTTTCCTCAAAATGATCCGGCTATTAACTGGTAAGTTTTCAATCCTTATTATAAAGTTCCGTAACCGAATATTGATGATAATAATATTACTATTACACTGTAGTAAAGACTGTTAAGTCATGTTAATGTTAAGTTATAAAGAATCTTTCTTCACTAATGGACACATTAGAATTTAACTGATAGGATTAAGTTAGTAATAGATGGTTTAAACAAGTACAAATTTTGGTAATCATTCAAAGGTGAATCAATTTGCAGTGAAATAATATTCCGTTTGAAAGTTTAACGTTTAACGTTTAACGTAATCAATTAGAGTTTTCCTTTCTTCTAAAAATCAATTAGTGAAATGAAGTAATCTTGAAGAAAATTATTGTAAACATATAGAATTACAGTTTCTGATAAAAAAACAACACAAAAAGTTATGAATTCAGGTCTACGCAGTTTAGAAGAATATGTATTTGTAATAGTTTCGTGCTGAATTTTATAATTATGCAAGAAAATACTTATTCTGAGCAGTAGATGGTGATAATGCTGTTTCTACAAAATAATAATAATGGAAAGAATAAATAGTAAATTTAAATTATAGGAGTGTTACCTACTGAGTTAAACTGTAAATTTATATATATATGATGAGAGCTTATTTTGATGTCTGGTTTAGATTAATAATTGGACGTCATCATAGTTTACTCAAAGAGATGGTTTTTTGATATAATTTCAAATAGATGTTTTTCTTTTTAAAAGGATTAGTGTAAATATACCTTGAAAGTTCGCTACCTGTCAAAATAATTCATTTCTATTATTTTTAATTGTTGAAGAATATTTTTAAATAATGGTATATATTACTTACTTACGCCTGTTACTTCTCGTGGACGAGCATAAGTCGCCCACCAGCACCCTCCGTTTAACCCTATCCTGGACGTTTATATTAGTTAAATGAATATGCAGAGTTAGTTTCATAAATATTTTCGAATTATTTGATTTTAATCGATACAACCTAAATGAAGAAACAATCTAAGTATCTTATCACATTGCCTCACTAGTCAACAGAGTTAAACTGTTTTCATTGAATTGTTTGTTTAGTAAAATTCCATGATAATAACTCCAATACAGTCTTACTCATAAGTGTGCACCGGTTGAGATTTTCTTTAAATGGATTATGAAAAGATTGTAGATTAGTTAATATGTATATTCTTTTAGTGGAATATGTAATTTAAACTATGAATGGTTGATTTCTGTATAAAAGACTTTAAAATAACTAAAAAACTCTTGTATGAACATACACTGAAATTGAGAGAGGACTAAAATGATCATTTTAAGAAATAACTTATAAGAGATCCAGAAGGTTAGGTAAGATTTTAGAATAAATAATTATAACATTTCACTCAACTTCTTCAATATAATAATCAAAAGTATCAAAGAATATACATTAGATTAGAATTAGCAACTGAAGATGATTGGGTGGGATTCTAACGTAGATTTATTTTTTAAACTATATATATATATATATATATATATATATATATATATATATATATATATATATATATTTGATAGTTTTCATTCCGATTATTACTTCAAAGAGTTCCAGACAAGGTTTTTGGATGAACGGTTGGAATTATTCCAACTCTAGTTCCTGAGACTATGTAAATATAATTTGTTTCACAAAATTTCTTTCTATTACTCAGCGTCTAATGGATGTCGAAATTTTCATTCATCTATAGATGAATGTTCACGTAAACTGGAAAGCGCTCTTTATAATTTTTTTATAAGTTACTATATGGTTTTCACTATTACAGATAGTTATGATGTAATCGATATAATCATAATCTTTATTGTAAGATACATTATATAGATTTCAGGTTATAAAACATGACTCGCACCAAAAAATAATGGTTTAAAATCAGTTTAACTTGATTACATTTTTAATGAGTATCAATGAAGCTTGTTATTGAACAGTGAATTGTAACTAAGGGCAATCAGTTCACATCACCTGAATATTTGAATAATTTTTAAACAAGAATAAAATTAAACGGCTGATGTTAATCAGAATTTGTTTTTCTACAATGGCTAAACTATCATATACGTTAATACCGTATATTTTGGACTGTAAATCAAGATCTATGATTAAGTAACTGACATTAAATCTAAGTCGCAACTATACTAGATCTTATCATTCAAAGAGAAACTTTATAATGTATTTTTACAAAGTTTACAGCATTGATCATGAATGGTTTGTGTTTTTCAGTTAAGTTCTATGTACTTACTTAATGTTAAAGGCTTTATATTTTCTTTACACAAAGAATAAAAATGTACTTAAAATTAAATTTAAAATAGAATTTTCGGAATTATCTAAGCTTAGAATCATGTATACAATTGGAAAAAATCTGAGAAGTAATTTCTTTTGTAAATAATAGTATTTTGTGGTGTGTGCTACTGATGTCAACAGATATAAATAGTATGTATCATCAATCGGAAGTGAAATATCTGAAGGCGGAAGGTTAAGACGTTCAAAGAAAAGAGAATGAAAACAGAAAATGATTTGTGTGAAAACGAAAGTACAATGAAGTTTAAGACGATTGATTGACATTTGATAAAGGAACAATGAAGGTTTTAACTAATTGATTGACATTTTGCAAATGAAGTATTTACTGTATGAATCTCAGATTTTATCAAGATATTCTGTATTGAAATACATCCGATTGTCCTTACTTGTGTTCTCGTTTATTACATTTTTATTGCGGATATATTTTGATCAATTATAAAGCATATGAATTCAACTTCAACTGTTAACCTATTTATTAAACATCTGAAAGAAAAAAATGAAATCAAGCTTTCTTTAGACTTAAAATAATAATAAAACTATTATTAATAACAATGAATAATGAATATTTTCCAGGTCAATTAAATTAATACTATGAAGTGTGATTTCGAAAACTCATTTAAACTGTATAAATAATTTAGCGTTGAATAGATTTTCAACAAAAAAAAGGGAAAAAAATCGAACAGAATAGAGGTCGGATCGGTTGAAATAATTGGATGAAATATTATTCTTTAAATAGATTACTTTACTGACTATATAAATATGAAAGAAGGTAGATTAAGAATATCATTAAACAGGTCATTACATTTAACTATAAAAATAGGTAAAAAAAATAAACTTGCCGAGTGTAAATAACGTTTTGTAACATTCCACAGAAACAATTATTTTCTAAAAATTCCTTGAGAGGAACAATAAGGTGATGGTCTACGAGAGGTTTTGATAAGATTATATTCATGAATATTTTTACGTAAAAACTATCATCAAAATAGGAATTCTACAATATCGATTGTTTATACCTGTGCCAAAACAATGTTTTTCTGTTTAAGTTCTACTATTCTTCATTAGCTAACATCCAATTTGTAAATTTATTCAGTTAATTAAATGAAGAGAACTATAAGCACTTGTATAAGATCTCTAATCCCGCATATGATGGAAGAATATTTTCCATAAAGTAATCAAATAGATAGATTTTCTAAATATGCCTTATTACTTGATCATCCCAGACTTCGACTACAAAATGAGTGTTTTTTATTGATCTAAGTGTTTTTAATCTTAACATTAAACGAAATAAAATCAGTAAAACAAACACTTCAGATTAGAGAATAAACTTAGTTATGAACTTCATTTCACTAATCTACGAATACTCTTTGATAATGTATTCTTATTTATACAATATCTGAATGTTTGAATGGTTATATAACAGTTACATTTCAAGAAAACTTACACATTTCGAAGACGAAAAAATTACTCAGTTAATATATTGTAGTGAATGAGAACACAAGTAGGAACAATCGAATGTATTTCAATACAAAATTACAGAATACCTTAGTAAAATCTAAGAACCATCCAGTGAATACTTCATTTGCAAAACGTCAATCAATTGTCTGAAATATAATTGTTTCCTTTCCAAGTATCAGTCAAACGTCTCAGACTTCAATATTGTTGCATTTCTATACTAATTACTTTTTGTTTCCGTTCCATCCTCTTCGATCTTCTTGAGCTTCTGTTGCCAGACATTCTTTTGATTATATACTACTTATGTCGATATTATTAGCACAGTTATATGGTCATTTAAAAGTATTTTCTCATATCTCGAAAGATTACATAATCACAAATTCTAATTTACTGTGATTGGTATTTGGTGAGTTGAAAACATGAGACAAAACTATTTATGAAAAAATAGCCCTTTTTGTAAAAATCAAATAAATAACACTGTTATCAGATCAATTTGTTTAAAAGTGTTTTTGGGATGAGGAATTATTACCGGGAAAATATCGATTAAAATATAAAAAAAAGACTAGAACAAATAGAGATATGCTACTTCCCATTAAATTTTGAAACTACTTAATAAGATGATATAAACATATTCATGACTATGATTATTATGAAGCATTCCTCCATATAGTTCATTAAACATTATCAATTTAATCACTTCTAAATAAATTCAGATAGATTGAACTATATTAGGGAACAAGTGAACAAGGTTTAACCTATATTTCTCAAATATCATTTTAACCTATCAATCTATGAATTAAAACAATAATTTTAAAAAAAAACGAACATGATTATTTCAAGTAATTAAGTTTTAATTTACAAGCATCTGTCTAATCAGTGATTACAATATAATCCATGTTTAAAGTAAGTAAAATACTATTTATCAAATCGTAGTGAACAAGAACACCAGCGAGGACAATCGAATGTATTTGACACAAAATTACAGGACTTGTTAATAAAATCGAACAATCAAATAGTAAATACGTAAGTTGCAAAATGTCTATCAATTGTTTCATAATGACTCAGACTTCATTGTTGTTGCATTTTCATGCAAATTACATTCTATTTTCATTCTTTACTGTTCCATCTTCTTGTCTCTCTGCTGCCAGACCTTCTGTTCACGACTAACATCATATATTACTTATGTCAATATAAGTAGCACACACCACAAAATGACTATCGACTATAATTTTTCAACTCAGAAACTCTGACATAGATGTTAAACGAGTAGTAAGATATTTATACATATAATATTTTATTTCATTATACGTTTCATTGTGAAATTTATTACTGAAATTTTTAATGTTGTTAAAATGACTATTTTAATCAACATCCAAAAGTGGTGTGTGAACGAAGGCGCATAACATTAGAAGTAAATAGTATACACTTAATGGTTTGAAGTTTAAGCTTTGAAAAGAAACCTAGAGATCTTTAGTGTTATCTTAGGTAGGGTTATGCGTTCATACTGCTGAAATGTTTCATACTAGGACGAAATAATTTTCAGGTGTTTATTAGTTTACAGAAATTTCTTTAAACTAAGATCTGTTTAAGGCAAAGTATTAAAACAAAAATTATAGAAACTAATCATATCTGTTCTGATATATTCCAATCATTAGTTATTCATGACATCTAATTCAATGAACGTAAACCTGCGTTTCCATGCTATTGAGCCTAAACTTTTATTTTTTAATTATTTACAAATGTTTTCTCAATAACAGTTTTAGAGTATTTAAACAACTTTAATTCCTTGAATATTTATTTAGTATTTACCTAAGACTTTTTATTTTCAATATAAAATTGAAATTTGGATTTAGTTTAAAGTGAATATTGGTATTTCTTTGATAATGTAGTGTCGGCGAGACTCTAATTTATGGACGAGCCAATCAGAGGTGTTTTAGAGATTTAAAGGTTAGGGCGCCAACTTCAATCTTCATGCTAACGTACAATCGGTTCACACGGAATTTTGTACAAAACGTGATAATTGAGTGGCTATAACAAATAAAACGGCGGGACCATAATTTGTGGACGAATCAATCAGGTATAAGATAATAGATCTCGGATTTGGGCACGTAAACCTTTCATCCATTTGCTAAATAGATTTCTGGCATTATAGCTGATGTCAGTTTGTGATGGAAACCTCATATATAATTCCTAACTAAGGCAAACTACAACAATTATCGTGAACTGGATAATAAAAGCACAAGTAACACTGGCTGTAGCCAGGTACTACAATATATATGGATGTTTGGAGAGAGTAAAGACTCCCACATAGGCATGGTTTTGTGCATCTTGTCGTTATCCACAAGTAGTATTTTGTGCACTCAACAACCGGAGTGCACATAAACAATATTGAAGCTATGTGGTCGATGCTGAAAGAGTATTTGAGACTTTATCATGAATCCAGAGGCCGACTATTCTGTGGCTGTATGGATGATTTCCTCTACTGCATGCATTACGATTTTAGAACATCTGAACCTCTTTCTAACCTTGACAAGTTTTTGAACCACGTATAAGAAATGTATCCACTTTATTTCCTTGGTTTTGTATAACATATTTTTACTCTATACTGACTGTTTGCTGATTGGCTAATATTTCTCAAGGTTACTTAAGATTCGTTCAAAGGTCGTCCATACATTAGAGTCTCGCCTGAAGTGTCATATTGGTTCTCCAATTTAAAAGATACTAAAAATCAAATCTTCTTAACGTAATATAAATGAACATTTGATGATTACAGTCTAGTATAGTTTGTTGAATAAACCAAGAAGGATAAAATTACTACTCGTATGTTGTCGAATTCATTTTGAGTAGACTCATAAAATAAATTTTGTTTTTTAATTGAGTAATTTGTTGAATAAGACAAATCTAATAAAATATCGGCAGTATTAGAAAAAATTTCACGTAAAATAATAAAATAGTTCATCATATATTTTGATAATGATGACAAGTAGTAGGATCCAAAGAAAATGTTTTATTATAATTCAGGTCCATCAGTCGGTGGTGATTTTTGGAAAAAAATACAGTGAAAACAACTATTCATAATCAGAAAGGGGTTTTGTGAAGATTTCAGTAATGTGATAGTTAAATCCATGCGTCATTTAAAGCTAGAACATCATGGAAAATATGGAAGTACAGGATGGCCGTCTCGTCCTACTACGGTACTCTTCAGCAATGCGTATCCACAATCCCGCCCGTGGGACTCGAACCCAGGGCCTATCGGTCTCGCGCGCGAATGCTTAATCTCTAGACCACTGAACCATAATCCAACGATGCTAATGTCTAACTCCAATCAATCGACAAAATTACGACACCATCCACCATTGTCTTCAGAAAGTTACTATCTCACAACAGATCCGACAGAACTCCACTGATCTAGCTTTAACTGACTCATGAATTCAACTATTAAAATATCCATAAGATACGATATGTAATTTATGGTTAGATTTCGAAGCGTGTTTTCTTGACTTGTATACTGTAAGAAATCAGTTTTCTCCTATTTACAAGATTATAAAACGGATGCCTTAAAACTCAATGTGAATATTATCACGGAAATGCATGTTTCAGTTAATTGAATTCCTCTTTCTATATCCAGCTACAACTAATTAGCAAAAACATAAGTGATATAATATATAGAGAGAGTATCCAGTCATCCATTTAACAAGTTCACTAACTTACAATGATCTATGAATTTGTTACGGTATACCAACGATAGTAAATTAGTTCTTTTTTTAATGGATATGTTTAATTGAATGATTAGCTTAGAGCCAACATTAAAATCATTAACATACAGTGAACTTGAAATCAAAGAACAATAAATTAAACACAGCAATGGATTCATATCAGATATTAAAATTTGCTAAAAAGAAAATTGCACATAACATTTATGTTTGTTTTGATTTTTAATGATTATTTCATTGATTACTTGGAATATAATACTTAATAAGAATTAAAATAGTGTGTACTAATATATGAAATAATTTTCACTTATTTTGATTGTTACGTTACATAGTTATCATATATATGTTTGCGATCAGTTTAAATGCAAATCCACATGGTTATTTGAAAAGTGAAGTACCTGAAGCAGTATTAGATTCAAATTCATTCATTGATAATAGTCCATATTAGTGAGTTTATTCGTATTATTATTTATCGTTTAAGTGTTTCTTAAATATACAATGATGATTTCAATATTTTCATGATTCATGCTTCCAAACCATTTCACAGATACTATACAGATTATAGAACTGGAATAATGACTTTGTAAGCAATTCTGTTAATGCACCTTATTCTGTGATCTACTTTTTGAAAACTAATTATCAGCTCTTCATATTTCAATCAATAAGTTGAGGATTCGAATGTATTCCTTCCTACGTCAATTTGGACAGAGAGTTAGTCTCACTAGAACTTATAATAAAACAATGAATAAAGAAGGAATTTATAGACCTGTTCTTGATCACCAAGTTACACTAAATTATTAAAACAGTATTGAAATACTTTTAAAAGTTGTGTAGTCAAATATTTCTGATAACTTTACTAATCGTTTACGTAAAGAAATATCATTCATACTGATAGATTAATATGGTTTAAACTTTTATTACAACATACAAAAGCCTTGTATAACTAACTAGTCTTCTTTCTTATTATTTCTGTAGTTTCACAGGTTGAAATCATGAGTCGATTGAAGCTAGACCACCATGGAAAACCTGGAAGCACTGGACGGCCGTTTCGTCCTAGTATGGGACTCCTCATCAGTGCGCATCCACAACCCCGCACTACGCGGGGCTCGGACACAGGACCTACTGACTTCGCGCGCGAGCACTTAACCACTAGAGCACTGAAACGGCCGTCCAGTGCTTCCAGGTTTTCCATGGTGGTCTAACTTCAATCGACTCATGATTTCAACCTGTGAAATTTCTAAAACTCTCCACAAAACCCATTCTGATATTCTGTAGTTATCATGTAATATTATTAAGTTGTACATAAAAAAATAGTGTTTTTGTATGACAAGCTTTGAAAACAGCTGCTTGATATTAGTGATTTACAAACGGACTTTATTAACGTATGGCGTCCTGATAAAAGATTCAGTAGCTATCACCATGAGTTTAATGTTCAAACATTTCCTATGATGTTACCTGGTTCTTCAATAATATTCGAATTGTGATGTATGCACAGTATATCGAAATGTTTTTACATGTTCTGTCACTCATTTAAAGAAATGATGAATACATTGATGCATCCACTGACGGAAAACGAACATAGATTTAAGAGCTGATAGTATACAGGAGCTAAACACCACATAATGTTTGTTTTCAAGTTATAATAGAACATTTTCACTAGACTAGTTAGAGAATAACCTAACTATTGTAATAAAGACTGACATCCTATGAGCCTCATTAGTAATAGTGCAGAGTATAATTTCTTCCAAGAATACATCCTCAGTTTGGAAAAAAATGATGTTTATCGATTTTAGATTTGAAAGCATTTGATTGCATACATGCTCAGAAAATATCTATCCATTATCGCAAACGCAGTACCTGTCAGTAAAGTTTTACAACAGACTAAGGAGGCCTACTGTGGTTTTCATTTATAATCCATAAAGAATACCCAGACTTAGAATTCCTCTTAAAACATTTAGAAGAATGGGTTTAATATTCTAGAAACCTACGCTAAAACTTTGATTTCTAAAGGATTATATCAGAGTTAAGTTCATGAGTCAATCTAAGATAGACCACCATTGAAAACCTGAAAACACTTGATGGCCATTTCGTTTTAGGGTGGAACTCCTCAGCAGTGCGCCATCTAGTGCTTCCAGGTTTTCAGTGATAGTGTAGCTTAGAATGACTCATTGGAAACACTGTAATCTCCCCAAATCCCCAAAATTATATCAAAGTCTCAATGTTTGATAAATATATACCAAACATAATCTATTAACAGTAGTTATTATAATCAAATACCTTGAAAACGATCGAGTGTTTGGAGAAATGAATATACGCTAACTGTTGTTCATAAAGTTTTTAAAATACAGTAATATAATATAAACAATTCGTTCATTTTGTCAGAGCATAATTTCGAAAAACACTATAAAACTGTTCAAAAATATCATTCTGAGAAAGTTCTAATGTAAAACATTATTGTATTTACACAACAACAAAACGGTTGTAACATATATTCATCATCATATATAGGCTACTTGTAGGCCATAAACATCAATTCCAGTCCAAATTTTAAAAAAAAACTACCAAGAACGAATTTCAAAGACTTTTTTATCATCATAAAAATATATGAACAAGAACCAATCAACATTGAAGTCTACAGAACAAGTTGTAAACCACATATGGTGAAATTTGAGCACTTCATTTTTACTTGACGTTTGTATTGATAATGTCATTTAGAAGAATGATAAATGCTTCACGACTAAACTATCCAGCTCAGAGAATAAAACAATTAAAAATATTAAAAAAAACTTCGTAATTTTATTTATTCTCTAATCAACAATCTATTTGATCATAAAACTCATTTTTTTTCAAATGATGTAAGAAAACAGTCAAAACATTTTAAAGTTAATTTAAAGAGTCACATGAATCTGTTTCCATAGTATCAGTTACATTTTCACTTTGACCAATGTATTTTAAGTAAATATACAAATAAATTATTTAGAATAACAAATATAAGCGAACAATATTGTTTTCGATTAGATCCTCATCAGGCTTTACTCTAATATATACAGTAATATTTATATGCATATATGAAATTATTAAACCAATCAAGGTAGTTTATGAGACATTTGAAACAATTACATAATATGTGAAAAGTACAAATTGATCGTGTGATGACAGATGTACTAGGTTTGATAAGAATAACAAAGGCTCAAATCAATGTTACATGGTCGGAAATAGGTCAGTGATTAGAATAATATAGACGGTGAGATAACATTTATAAAATTATAAGGTGACGTAATAAGAAATGTTCAGATAATTGGACCATGAAACGTATAGTTGAGAGAAAATAAAGTGGTAGGAGGGGGTGAAGAAAAATAATAAACGTAGAGAAAGTTTGAAAAAGAATAAATAAATTCATTTAATAAGGCCAAGGAAGAGATAAGGGTGTTACAGATTCCTTCTGAACACAAAGACTTGGCTTGTTGGCTCGAATTCCTATAGCTTCTGCCATGTGTAGAAGACGAGATCGAACACCATAAGCGAAACTAGTGGGAATACGATAAATAACTTAAAATGACTTAATTCTATCTAATACATGACCGCTATCAATCAAGTGTGATAGAACCGAGCTGCATATTGTCTTGACATTACCTTTTCCAAACCACGAAGGGAGGTGTTCACTAACTCTTTGGTTCAGTTGCATGGTAGTGCGCCCAATATAGCTTTTTTCACAGGAGCAGCTGAATTCATAAATACACATAGAAGTGACATAACCAGGTAACTTATCCTTCAGTTGGGGAATCGCCATAGATCGGCTCAAATACGATAGACAGAGATTGACAGCATTAAACGTTCTCTTTACTGCTCTAGTCAGTCTATCACGCAATACATCACTAGATACATCACGATTGAATTGCAGCTTCAAGAAGAGAGGTTTCTTATTAGCTGTCAGTGTCACTATTTTCTTACTTGTTATACTCAAGAGTTTCTTCAGGAAACCCTGTGGATATACCAATTCAATCAACATATTATGAATATGCTCTAATTCCTTATCAATTATTAATTTATTTGATTATATATTTTAGTTATCAAAGATCACATATTCCTAAATGGTGGAAAATAATGAATGAAAAACGTTGGTTTCCTATCAAAGAATTTCGTGGTGGATTAATGGAAGTTTAATTAATTAAAATCTATTTCATAAATGTTAATTTCTATAAGTTAAACATTAAAAAAAAATAATTAAATAAAATTATTCTCGCAAATGATCTTTATGCTTTTTGTTGTTGTAATTTATGATATGAAGATTAATTTTCTCATATTAATTTTTGAATAGGCGAGACTATAATTTATGGATGGACTAATCAGATATAAGATAAAAGGTATCAGATTATGACGCGAAATTCACTCATCCATTTGGCTAAATAGAGTTTTTGGCATTATAGCTGATGTCAGTTTGTGATGAAAACTCTAAATTCAATTCCTAACCCTAATCATCAACTGTATATCACAGTTCTAATTTTTCACACAAGTTTGTAACACTCATTTGGTACTGGTTATTAGGTGGATACTCTCAAATTCAGTCTAGCGTCGCTCAAAGGTCGTCCATAAATTAGAGTCTCACCGAAAAAGCTAATAAAGATTTGATATACACGAACAAAGTTTAGTTATATGTCAGACAGTAGTAGTCAATATCATGTTGTCTAATCGTTAGTACTCAGTTGAAGTTCATCCACCACAAAGATGAGTAACTTGATATCGTGATATAATTTGTACGGTTTTAGATAACTGGATATGAACATTCTATTTCACAGTCAGAGACGTGGTCATCGGCCTACAACTGAGTCAACCACTATAGTAAGTAGGCTAAAGGATTTTAACCGATTATTTTGAACGACTTATCAAGATGTATTATACAAGTTTACACGAGGATGAAGTTTTAGCTGCCGACAGATGAACAAACGGTAAACAAAATATATTATTGAAGTACAATAACATTTTCTAGTTATTATAATATATATAACTAAATTTACAGTTGTCCGTAGCGTTTTCTATATTCCTGTATTATCAATTAATCATAATTCGATTGAAATAAGTCTGATGTATTGAATATATCTACAAAGTTATTTCAATAGTAAAACCACAGTCGTTTAGTGAGACAAATGGTGAAGTAAAAGCTTTCACACATGTTTACCGAATTGCGATGTGATATTTCCCATTAGTTGTTTAAGATTAAAGTTAAAATGGAATGGAAATGGAGATATTTGATTATAAATGATAAGATCTCGACTTTAGAAAAGATCTCAAAATGGTGATTGCCAATAAAGATAGGTATTTAGTTACACGCATAATGTATAGTGTAGAACGACACATAGTGTGAGATGTTAGACTAATCAGTAATTCAAGTGTGAGTATCAGATTTTTGGTAGACGTCATAATAATAATAAGAACACTGATTTCGCTCATCTGTAAGAATAATCAAATATTATTAATCCAATGTTGATACAAAAACGTTACAGGGTTTTTTAAAGTATGGTAAGCGACAATTAGCCTTATATATACTATTAAATAATAGATTTTGTGATGTGTTAGAATATTCACGCCGTTTATGTAACATAACTTTTTAAAATTCTTAACAACGAATTAAATGTTTTTGTTATAAGAATACATAAAATGTTAAGTTCACTATCATGGAAGCTAACAACAAAATATGTCTTGTAAGTCACAATATCTAACATTTACTTTGATTCATATAGTTCTCATATATGTCATATGTCTTATGTTTATTAAAATACATAGTTAATAATGAATTAAGGCATCAAATTAAAGAATTAACACGATGTCTTACAAGGTTTCATTTGTAATAGATACCAGTTTTCATTATTGAGACCAACAAACGTAGAAGAGCAGTTTGAATAACATGAAACCTAACCAGATAAAATGGTTCATGGTTTGGTCAGCACAAAACCAATAGTGCTTGAACTAGGAAGACACTTTTAAAATATGTGTAAAAGTAGTGTTAATGGCCATGAAAAAAATAGAATCCATATTGTTTGTTTCAGTCTATATATATAGCTCAGTGGTAACGTCTCAGACTGTGAAACTGGGTGACACGGAATCGAATTTGCCAGGGAGCACCAGTTCCCTCGAAATTACAGGCACACCTTGCTGACGAGTGCCAAGTAGCACGAAACCCGGCTCCAGGGTTTCCTGTCGACTACCTCAAACCACCATCTAATCTCTCTCTCTCTCTCTCTATATATATATATATATATATATATATATATATATATATATATATATATATATATATATATATATATATATATATATAGGCAACGTATTCATTAACAACGTTGTAAGACATTTTGTAAAAAAAAAATGAATGAATATCTACACATACAAAAATATACAACCAAGATTAACAGTTTGGAATATTTTGTTATAGGTAATTACAGATTAATTTAGTACACTTTCGTACAGTTTATTAAATTTGACCACATTTGTCTTTTTTAATGATTCTTTGTTTTCAGATAGGGGTTTTGTGGATATTATAGTAATTTAATAGTTAAATTCATGAATCAATTGAAGCTAGACGACTACGGAAAACCTAGAATCACTAAACGGCCGTTTCGTCCTATACTAGGATGATTGTAATAGTTCAAGTCCTGTGTGCAGGATCGTGGTTGCGCACCACTGAGAAGCTCCATACTTCCAGGTTTTCTATGATGGTCTAGCTTTAATCGACTCATGGATTCAACTATTAAATGATTCTTTTGTCATTATTTAACAATTTGAATTAAATTTTTCACGATTTAATTTGAAAAGAATTTCTTTTTAGAATTATTTATATTCTAATTTGTTCACCTTCAATATATTTTAATTCAAAGCTATTTTATAAGAGATTTTTGTTTCTTTATTATATTTAGGAGATTGTCCTTGTAATTCTTTATTTGAATGGACAATTAATCAGAATTTTTCTTTCATCAATTAAATTTCTTTACATTCACAGGTCAGTATAGGTAGTGTCATTTGGGTTTGTTTTTAAGATATACAAAGAAAGAATGACCGATTATATGAATATTGTGCTTATTATCATTATTATTATTATTAATATTTAATTGAGCATAAACATAAGGCCGAAAATTTCCTTTTACACTTTATAATTATTAAGGTAACAAATGAATATGGCTACATGTGAAGTTATTTGATATGAATGAAATCAGGTTGTTATTTTGATATTTCTACAGTTGTACCATTTGTATTGTGCATTATTAAACTAACGGTAATTGCTGTTTCAAGACTACTAGCACCGTGTAAGTTACAATTTTAAAAGACGAAAACGGAAGTTAATATCGAAATATTTTTTTGAATTTACAATGTTTTGGTCCACCACAGTCCTAAATTATAAGAGTTTTTAGGAGGAACTCATAAAACGAAACGAAAACATAACTTGTTTTCGATATAAATCTCTTTGGTACACGAAAAAATATACTTGATCTCAAATAAGTAGAAAATGGCGAAATTAAGTCACCTAGAATCGAATTGATTCGTTATCGACTCTCGTAACCACCGTTTGAAACAGGAGGTAATGAAGAAAAATAATACCAAACAAAATGCGAAACACCTTTATCACGAATGTTCGTTGTGACAAATTCAATGGAAAATAAAATTTCCGCTTGTCATATTCCTTACCCACTGATTTATTTCAAGCAGCCTCCTAAACGTCTTTTGTCATTAATATTGCTCTTCATAGACCATATTGTGGAGATTATCGCAATCTGTAGAGATGGTTAACTTGGAATTCATATGTATATTCAAATCTTGTATAGTTTCATTCTTCTTCCACATTATATGTTACTTACTGTATAAATTTATTTACTATGACATGTTAATTTCATTATGCAACTATGTCATACTGATTTTCGTTCATTAGTACAAGCACTACCAATCACACTCAGTTTTCTCTCTCAATTGTCTTTAACTCACCTGGTCGCTTAAAACGTACAGTTTGTGCTGTCAATATTCATCTGGTTTATCTTGGACTCATTACATTCAAGTAACAAACTCAATATTTGGTCTTATGAAATTATCAGAAGTAGTCGAACCCACCAACCTAACAAATTTTTCTTCGTACTATCTAACTCACACTCTAATAGTCCAAAACGTATCAGTATCTGATTCAAAGTGAACACCGTGAATATAATCGAACGTTTGAACTTGGAACTTGAGCCAAGATCTGAAAGATGTACTAGGGAATTATTAGTCAGTACAAACATCACACCCTAGTCATTTCATATTGTTGTGAATTCGTGTTTTTATATTTTTGATCAACTATAAAACCCAGTAGTAACAGATTTTTGTGCCATGGAAATCCCACGAGATCTCTGATCGGATAATGTTTTCTTATGGAAATCCGTCAAATATTACCCAATAAATTGCAACGAGTTTGTTCGAGTGTGTGACTAGTTTCTAAAGAATTTCTTTGAATCCACAAATAGGTCCTAAATTTGCCGGTGCTCCCATGTTTTAAGTTCACGAAATCACTCATCTGACACAAGTTAAACGAGTCAGTAGCATGTGATAAAGATGTCGATTGCTGATCTTATGAGGCGATTTTACTAATGTTTTTATACTGGTTTGGTATTTGGTCATCTTCAAAAGCCAACAGACGATAATCCACATATATCGGTATTTAATGTACACGAAACTAAAATGCATGTTACTTTAGGGCTGAAGAAATGTCACAGGATGTAACAAAATGTTAAATTACTATCTATCAAGATATGACTTTTGCTTGGAGATACTCACTCTTTGTTGAGGTTGATCTCATAGTCTAATTCAAAGTTACATAACTTGTAATAACGAGGACACTCAAAGTACCTTTCAACCAACTAACTTCTAAAGGATTCGACTTAACTGTGAGGTGATCGTGAATCTAATATGTACGTAGGTTGATTGTAATTGTCGAACAGAAAAATGTTTGTCATCTTTTAAAGTTGTCCCGTACACTCATATGTTTGTTCTCATCAAGTATCCAGCCGTTTACTCTGTTCATATAACCATAGTTAAAAAAGTATTAAGACAGAAACCTAAAACTAAACAGAAAGTCTCAGTGGAATCATTATCGTATAGCGACTCACGTGCAATTGAGTTTAGTCCAGTCAAGGTCTTTTGTTGACCTAGTTAATGGACAAAGTCATCCATGCTATAACAACTTGTTGTACTGTTATTATTATTGTGCTTGTATGAAATGCATATGCTTGAA